TGCCGCTAATCATTGATTTTTCCGAGATAATCAATGGAATCAATATTTCCCTGGTCGATATTTTCTATTGGTTGCTCTGAGCTCGACATTTGTGCGGTGATTTGTTGTTTTTTAGATCTACAGACTCGGCTTACGTGACCTTTCTTTCCGCAGGCTCTACAATTTTTGTCATAATAGAAACATTGGCTTCGTATATGCGCACCACCGCAGCCATTGCAAAATGGTCTTCCGCCGTCGTCTTGCTGAATTCCTTGGCCGTTTCGCTGTGATACTCCTCGGTACGATGTTCCATATACACTTTGTTTTGGTGCTAGTCTTCGCGGTGCTGATCCGGAAGGAAATGGTCTTTGTTTGCGTCTGGTCAGGGGTGCACTGTGACCTAATTTATTCGTGACTTCTAGTAAGGGCGCAGTCGCTGAAAATTTCACTTCGCTCGTTGTGTGGTGCGTAGCTTCGAGCTCGTGTAGTACTTTGTAAGCATCTGTAAAGTTCGTTGGATTTTTAGCAATCAACTCGTCGCACATTTCACGAGATCTTAGTCCATGTAGAAGTTGTTCTACAAGCATTCTATCTAGAAATATGCCATAATCACAATGCGCCGCGCCTTGCTTCAACCGGAGGACAAATTGGGCAATTGTCTCATTTTCTTGCTGGCGAATTTGTCGGAATTTGATACTCTCGGCATATTTATTTTTTGATTGGTCGAAATGTTCGATCAGTGTCTTTTTAATATCCTCGTAGGACAGAGTTTCGGGTGCACGAGGATTAATTAGGAATTTCAACGCGTTGTTCAATTCTGCGCCCATATGAACTCGTGCATAAGTACCGTGGTCGTCGCCTTGGATTTTTGAGAGCTGCAGAGCCCAGTCAAATCTTTTAAAATAATCTCTTACCGTCATTTCTTCAGAAGATCGGTATTCGGCCATTGAAAATGCAGGAGGTTTGATTTGTTGGCTAGACTGGAAATTGGGTGGAATTGCGTCACCCGCAGCTGAAACAGTGTTCGCTGCTGCCGTTTGAATTGCGCTGACTATCGCGCTCGCGAGTCCTTGTAGGAGATCTGAAGGTACTTCGCTCATTGTGTTATCGTGTCGTCGTATACACGGTAAATCCCACTTTCGACACCACTTTTAAATATCTTTATTGTAATTCAACATAATATGATAACTCTCCATGTAAAACAATGTCAACATGAATAATAATGTCAATAAAAGTGACATTCAAAAACGTCACACCATTGATGAATACAGTATGATCATTCATGGCTGTTGATCCATCAACGTCAGCAGGCACTTCACTAACAAAACCAAGTTCAAGTCATATCTCCAGCGTTAGTTCTGAAGAAATGAACTCGTTTATTCTTCTAAGAATATCGAAAAAACAGAATTTGGAATTGTATGAAAAAAAATAAGAGACAAAAGGGTACCATACAAAAATACAAGAACAAATTACGGAATGCCAACAGAAAAATAAAAAATCTTGAAGATAAGCTGAAGATGCAGACTCCAATGGAAATAACACTTCTTAAATCATGCTATAATTCGGACCAGATAACGGCATTAAAAAAAAAAGAAGGCAAAACAACAAAATTCATGAAGTGGGATGATGATACAATCACAAAATCTTTGAAGCTCAAGTTTGCTTGTGGTGGTACAGGTTATGAGGAATTGTCGAAACAAAATCTGCCATATCCATCAATTCGAACTCTGCAGAGAAGATTGGAAAATATTAAATTTGACTCTGGAATATTGAATGAGGTATTTTTCCTTCTGAAAATGAAAGTAGAACATCTCAATCGATATAAAAGAGATTAAATAAATAAATAAATAAATAAATAATTTTTTGATCCTTTCAGACATTTATATGTATAGGACAGGTCAGGGTGGTACTAACAAGTATATGTATAAGAAAAATTGAGTGTATAAAACAGTGATCACACAGGTTACAAACGTATATATAAAACAAAACAGATTAGATTCTGAAATCTCTATCAGACATAAACTCATCTATGCTGTAGTAGCATTTGGATACTAATAGTGATTTTATGTATTTTTTGAATGAGTGTCCATCCAGGCATTGGATGCTTTCGGGGAGATGGTTGTAGAACATAATTCCACAATAACTAGGACTTGTTTCAAATTTAGCTGTTTTATGTGATGGAATACACAAGAAATTTCTCTTTCTGGTCGAGAATGAATGGTACTGAGAATTAGTTTTGAACTTACCTATATTTTCCCTGAAATATAGCAGGCATTTGAAGATGTATATACAGGGGAACGTTAGGATTTTGTAATGAACAAAATAGGGCCTACATGACTCTCTAGGGGGCAAGTTGAACATGGTGCGAATTATTCTCTTTTGAGCGATGAATATTCTGTCACTATCAGCACAATTTCCCCAGAGCACCACATTATATGACATATGGCAATATACCATACTATAGTATACTGTTAACAATGACTCTACTGGCATAGATGACTTTATTCGTGAGATTGCAAATCTAGATTTATTGAGCTTTTTGCTAACTGTGTCGGTTTGGTAAGTCCATCTCAAATGCTGGTCAACATGGATACCCAAAAATTTCGTACAAGTTTTAGAAACAACCGTCTCACCATTCAAATTAAGTTGAAAGACGTTCAAGCTAGCATGAAATGTGAAATATATGCATTCTGTTTTGGCAATGTTCAAAATCAAACCATTTTGATCACACCAACTATTGAAGCTATTCATGATCAATTTGGTTGACTCAGCAAGCTCCACAAAGGTGTCTGCTGTCACAACTAATGAAGTGTCATCTGCAAATAGTGCTAACATCTTAGCATCAATATGCTCAGGCATATCGTTGATGAATAATAAAAATAATAGCGGCCCCAGCACTGAGCCCTGTGGAACACCAATGCTCAGTGTCTGTTTACTGGAATAATGGTTCTCGACTTTCACATACATCTGTCTATGATCAAGATAATCACTGACCCAATCAAGAAAAATTCCTCTGAATCCCAAGTTGTATAATTTACTGCGAATGAAACTGAAGTTGATGGAATCGAATGCTCGAGAAAGGTCAAAAAAAAAGTCCAGCCACATGTTTTCCTTTGTCTAGACTCAAATATATAAATTCAATTAAGCTGCATGCTGCTGTTTGAGTTGATTTTCCACTACGAAATCCATGTTGGCATTCTGTGAGTATCTTATATTTGGATAAAAAGTTGTAAATTCTATTGTAGACTATCTTTTCAATGACTTTAGAGAATACACTCAAAATAGAAATTGGCCTATAGTTGGCCATGTTCTCAGGGTCATTTTTCTTGTGGACAGGAATTACAGTAGCTAATTTCAAGACTGACGGGAATTTTCCAGATGAAATAGAATAATTGATTAAATGGGCCAGATGCCCGGCTACAGAATCAGCTACAGATTCCAAAATTTTAATAGAAATGTTATCTACACCGGTACTGTTTTTGTTTTTCATATTTTTTATGACAGACAGCACTTCATCAGGTGTGACAGGATTGAAGAAAAAAGTTTTGTCAGTCATGGAAGATACTGTACATACATTTGATCTTGATTCACCAAAATGGCTCAACAAACTTTCTTCAGTTATGCTCGCAAAATAATTTCCAAATATATTTGCTACAACTTCTGGAGTTGTGTGAATATTACTTTCTATATTTAAGGTAATACTATTGTGCTTCTCATTTTTACCCAGATCTTGATTGACTAAACTCCACACTGTTTTTTGTTTGTTACTTGACCCGTTGATCAACATTCTATTATAATTTAATTTAGCATCATTGAGCATTTTATTATAATTTCGTTTGGCTACTCTATAGGTTTCCCAAGAATCATAGTTGCCTATAGCCCTACATAACCAATGTAAGTTCTTGAGTTCTTGGCTAGCCTTTCTGATACTAGGTACAACCCACCTAGAATTACTTTGCGAATATTTACTGCAATGTTTTTGTGGACTACATTTGTCCAATACGAACGTGAAGATGTTGATAAAAGATTCGAAAACATGATCGACATCATAATCTAGATAAATTTCACTGAAGTCAGTATCGTACATCAAATTGTTTAGTTTATGCATGGTTTCCTTTGACATGTCTCTATAATACTTAGATGCTCCGCCATTACATTTCTCCGAGCTGTTGATGTAATGCTGGAAAGCTAGCGTTATTACATAATGATCGCTAAAGTTAGCTTCATATACATTCGCCACATATTTATCAGAAACAATATTAGTAAGGATATAATCGACTTTTGTAGTGGATGTTACACCATTTTTGTTTGTAAAAACTCTAGTAGGTGACAAAGAGCTCACATTCAAATCATAGCCTAATAAGAGGTCAAACAATAATTGTTTTTGTGCATTTCCAGTCAGATAGTCAACATTCAAGTCACAACAAAGGAATATAGGGTTATTCGAACTTACTTCTTCTAAAAGTGCATATAATCGTAATAAAAATGATTGGAAATTCCCATCATTCGGTGGTCTGTAAGCACTGAGGATACAAACACTTTTATCTTCGAAGAATAACTTCACACCACTGCACTCGAGAACCATTTCTTCAGAGAATGATGACACATCGAGCACTTGCACCTGATGCAGGTTGCTTTTAACATATATTGCACTACCTCCATGGATGTGAATATTACGGCAGAAGTATGTAACCAGTTTGTATCCCGGAGTAGTCATGAATTCTATATTGTCTTTATGACACCAGTGCTCTACTACACTGACAACATCTGGAGTTTCTTCATTCAGAAGTACGTCGAATTTATTCAACTTATTAGACATGCTTTGAGCATTTAGGTGAAGAATTTTCAGATCAGTTTTACGATTATTCACGTCAGCTGGTGAGTTTGATTTCAGGATTCTGGTCCTCTTGTTTGTCTCCGCTGTAAAAAATAGCGCACATATGCATTTTTGGGCCAATTTCCTGGATCCGTTATTGAATCGATATAATTCCTAGATAGCGATACTTTGAATGATGAGTAACGATCAGGATGCCTAGATTGTAACAGTTCGCATTCTATTCCTGGAAATATAGGAGTTAAAAAAGTAAGTAGCTCTTCTTTCGTGGTATCAGGTTTTAGGTTGTAAACGTGTAGATTCAGGCATTTCTCAACGCCTACAACTGAAGTTCTACCAGAGAAATTTCCAACTACTATGTTGTTATCTCTGGGTTTCCTCTTTGGACGTTTGTGCTCAACTGTAATCCACTTATTATGAATGGTTTCATCATTTGGTTTCTCGTGATCACTTGTAGATGGACCAGATTCAATGTTCACATATTTATCACATATCCTTCTGGATTCAGCCTCCAAAATCGCATTATTCACGTCTTTGGAAGATATCTCCTTTTCCTTTCCATTAGCTCCTTTTTCTTTCATAGTATTCTTCGGCGCTACTGGCTTCGAATATTTAATTGGCACTTTGTCTTCGTTTTGAATCTTATCACTATCAGGTATTGGCGTTTTTATCAAAGCAGGTTTTTGTTGATTCGAAACAGCCAAGTGTTCCTTCAAAATTTTAATTTTATCATTCAGCTCGGCGATAATCAAATCTTTTTGTTTGATAACATATTTGAAGATGCCTATGTCAATTTTGTTATTGCAGCTAATATTATCTATTGCATCAAAGAAAGCACTTTCTGCATCGTCCTCTAGGTTCGTTTTTTCGTCTTGTTTTTCACAACATTTGACGAAATTTTTATCAATAATGAGACATTTCATGTTTTTTGCACAGCTAGCGTGAAAACATGAATCACAGTTAACACATTTAACAAAGTTCACGACTTTACTTTTACACTTTTTACACTGCATGTCGTTGGTATCAGAGCGAATATCAGCACGTGCTTCGCCTGCCATGGCCGGAGCTAGACTGACAGATTGTGTTCTTGTTTTGGATGAAATGGCGATTGAACCTAGGAGAACAGTTCATATTTTGATAGGTAGTAGTTACTTGAACCTATTCAAGACAACTTATAACAGCTAGGTAAGTAGGTAGTCGTTTTCTGTTGAATATTCCAAATGACAAAATAGAAACTTGAATATAAATATTTTTATCTGAAAGAGAATGAAAATCTCTCAGAAGATTTTTGATTTTAAATCATCTTTGTGTGTTCAATGGATTCAATTCAATGTTCGTTTTGTCATATAGCCAGTAAAGTAGTAGTTCTCTGTGAAGTATACTGAAGAAGTATCAATACTTTCATCAGATAGAGAATGTGAATTTTCAATGTATTTCTTGATATTTTTCCATTTTTTTCATGTTTATTTTTCTTCAAAATTATATATTATTGTAAATGTTAATAATAGTTTGTGAGATTGCAGATGTGTATGTACATGGCTATTAAAGTTATTGCTTCAGTATTTCTGTTCATCATTTGAAACTGACCTTATATGGGCAAGTAATTTCTTGATCACTGCATCATTCGAGAGATGGGATATCCTAGGTTATCATTTCATCAATGTATTTAAGTTGTGTTCTTCTGGACATCCAACATCACTTTTTCATCTCATTTGAACTGGTTTACAAGATGAATTCTTGAGTGATAGGGAGATGCTTTGAGTACCTACCTGAAATGTTGCATGTTGATTCGTTGGTGGATAATTGGGGATATTCAATCAGGATAATTAACCCTGGATATTTCAATAGAATCATAAATTCCTGGTGATACTAGGTATACTTTGATGCTGCTTACCTTGCATAGCTTTGCTTTCATCTCCATTTTCTTTCAAGAACATCGTGATATTTGTGATTTGTACTATTTTAAAGAATCTTTTTGGACCAGCCATTATTACATATAATATTTACAATAGACATAGATTCATAGATTGAGCCAATGAAACTCTGATAAAAACGCAAATGAAAATTGAAACGTGTATTGTCACGTATTGTGTAGTTTGTTTATGAAACGAAACCATTTGACTTTGACGTTAACTGACATCTACGTCAATGCCGGAAATGGCAGCCATTTGCATGGCCATTGTCGTCACTCTATTTATATAGTCACTCTACTCTGACGTTTCCAAAAACCCTATTTACATCAGGCTGCTCGCTCACAGGACACTTCGGAAACCGTGACAGGTGCCGAGTGTGGTGTGAGTAGTGCTTTGCCTTGAAGACCTTGCTTGTTAAGTCCCTCACTGGCAATATATAATTAGGTTTTACGCTTCTTACGACTAGGTCACAGATGTGCCAAACGAATATAAAACGGGAAGAATAAGATGTGATAGTCTAAACAGCTGTTCGCTAATATTTATTTGCAAAATAAACATAACCCCTTGAAGAAATAATATATGGAATCGAAAACACATCAGATGAAATCTTTTACAGAGTACAGGTAGGTAGCCCTATTTGATTACCATGAGAAAACAGTTTGACGAGGGTTCAATGTAAGTACGATTCATTTTGATTATTACTGGGTGTTGAAACTGATATGGTTAGTCCCAAAGTAGTTTCTAAGTAGGATTTTCAGCGATCAAGTCTCTGAAAACAATGCATCCCGTAGCATAACATGAGTGTATATACCTATGATGGACAGGAGTTATGAACGATCCACTAGTGGACCGTTACAACTTTTATTGCTGATATCAGTTTTTCATAGCTATTTACACTAAAACTATTGGCTAATTCTTGGATTTTTTTTTGTTTTGATTCAATACAATATGCTCATGGATTATTTTTTTACTTTTTTGGTGAGTTTTAGTTTTGGTCAGTATTTTAACATGGATTATTTTATTAGTGAGTGTTTTTGTTTGCTAGTATATGGTTTAGAATTGAACTCGAGTTTGGAGTTACTCTTGTAGCGAAATCATCATTAAAATATAGTGTTTTGATAAGTGTCAATCTCAATAGAATTATTTTTAAGAAGATCTATATTCAGATCTTCAATCAATAGTGTTTTTGATTTGTTATCATTCAATATTTCATCAAGTTCTGGTAAGAATTCTTCGACAGGAAGCAATATGTCGAATATGAAAATTATCAGTCACCCCTATACACCCCTAGCTCGGGAGTTCCACAAGGTTCTAACTTAGGACCTCTATTATTCCTGCTCTTTATTGATGATTTAGCTAAAAAGGTCAATTGCTCAAAACTTCTTTACGCCGATGACTTGAAGCTGTTCAAAGTTATTGAAGAATATCAAGATTGTCTAATCTTACAGAATGAAATCGACATAGTTTTCAATTGGTGCACGAGAAATCATTTACATCTAAATATTTCTAAATGTCATATCTTATCATTTTCAAGAAAGAATAACATAATAGCATTTTCTTACGAAATTAACAAACATCGAATCAACCGGGTTCAGGACATGAGAGATCTCGGTATTGTTTTCGACCATAAATTCAATTTTGTATCACACATAGACCAGGCTGTTTCATCAGCTAACCAGATGCTGGGTTTCATAATGAGAAACACGAAAGAATTTACAAATACAAGTACACTCATAACACTCTTCAATGCCTATGTAAGGTCTAAATTAGAATATGGAGCGTTAATATGGTATCCTGTCTATAATTCACATATAAGTCACATTGAATCAGTTCAAAAAAAATTCTTGAAACATTTAACTTTTAAAGTTACAAGAGTATATCCCCAAAGAGGAACTGATTATACAATTCTCTTGGATCAATTCAATATCATTTCTTTGAACACACGACGAATCATTATAACAGTTTCATTTCTATACAACTTGATACATAACAAGATATCATGTGCTCCCCTTCTAGAAAATATCAATTTCCACACTCCACGTATGAATACTAGACATGAAATGACATTCTATTGTGAAACTAGTAGAACAAATATTAGTCTTAGGGCACCCGTGACAATAATGTGTAACAATTTCAATTTAATATGTAATATGTGCGATATTAATAATAGTACCCTAAAATCAATTTTGAAATGTATTCACCAAAGAACCTTTCAACTGTAATCTTGATATATTTCTCTTATTTCATTTTTTTTACATTAATATTCTATTCTTTCATCATTGTTTGTGATTTTCATATATGTATATATATAGTTTTTTATTTTTAATTTTGATTCAGAAATAATTTTGGTTTTGTACAACTAGCGTTACTTTTAACATTTCCTGTAATTGGGTGTATACCTGTTGGAAATAAAGTGTTATCTATCTATCTATCTATCTATCTATCTATCTAAGAATTCATCAAATAGGTGTCGAGGTGGTCTATAAAGACCGATTACTTTTAGGTCATGATCTAAGAGTTTAACACTTACAAGATCATACTTTTTTCCCTTTGTAGTATCAGTTACAGCATATTTCAAGGAGTTTTTAAGAAAAATTGAACAACCTCCACCACGTGAGTCTCGACATAAGTGAAAGCCATTATAACCCGCAATCACATATAAGTTAGTTTCATTTTCGTAGTACCATGTTTCTGAGTTTTTAGATTTAGTTACTGTACTATCATTCCTCATTGACACCGGAGCTGATATAATTGATTTACCATTTCATCTCCTACCAGAGAAGTTTCTCAACTCTGTTATTGCTTGTAAAGATATAATATCTCTCAGCTGTAACCAAAAAGTTTGTAGAACATATGTGTATTCGATAATGGGTTTAAAGTTACCTATCTTAGGAAGACCAGTTATAGTAGATCTGGATATACTACAACTCAAAAATAATATTTATGTACAGTCCTCAGTAAATTCCATGAAACTGAATACCTCCACTGTTGAAATTACAAAAGAATTTCCTGAATTGTACAAGGAAATAGGGGAATTCAAGGGTGAAATGGAGATTAAGCTGAAACCTGATGCCAGACCTTTTATTCAAGCAGATCCACGGGTAGTTCCAATTGCCTTGTTACCTGAATTAGAAAATGAAGTCAATAGACTGAAAAAACTAAATATTATCGAAACTGTTGACTACCATACATCATGGGTATCACCTATAGTAGTTGTTCCTAAAGGTGAGTCTGTGAAATTGTGCGGAGACTACACAGAACTTAATAAAAGTGTACTTCGTGCCCATTTTCCTATGCCCAAGGTAGAAATGTCATTATCTCATTAAACAGTGTCAAAATATTTCTCAAGGTTAGGTGCCAACTCTGGTTTCTATCAAATCAGACTAACAAAAGAATCTCAGATTTATACAACCTTTATAGCACCTTTTGATAGGTTTTTATTCAAAAGGTTGCCTTTCGGGATCTCCTGTGCCCCTGAATATTTTGCACTTGAATTTACACAGATATTTTCAGATATGAAAGGAATTTTCATACATGCCCCTTCTATACAAAAACATGATGAAAAACTACGTGAGGTTTTGTCAAGACTACGGAAGGAAGGTATAACATTTAACAAAAATAAATTCCTTATTGGGGTTGAGAGAGTGGTTAGGTCATGTAGTCTCCAACAAAGGCATTGAAATTGAACCTTCTCGTACAAAATCTATTTTAAATTCTCCTGATTTGTCCTGTAAAAAAGAATTGCAACAATTTTCAGGGATGATTAATTTTACTTCTAGGTACAAACAAATCAGAAATTCTTGAACCACTCACAAGATTGTTGAAGAATGATGTTCTTTTCACTTGGGATGAGCCGCAGAAGAAATCATTTGCTTTGATTAAGGAGTTCCTTACTAAAGCTCCATGTCTGTCATATTTTGATCCATCAAAACAAATTTTTGTAAGTGCTGATTCATCCTCATATGGGTTAAGTTCTGTGTTATTGCAAATAAATGGTAAAAATGAACGAAAAGTAGTAGCTTATGCATCCAGGACGCTCACTACTGCGTAATCTAAATATGCACAAATATAAAAAGAAAGTCTTGCATTGACTTGGGCTTGTGATAGGTTTGAGGAGTATGTTATAGGAATTCCTATCATTTTGGAAACTGATCACAAACCTTTTGTTCAAATTCTGCAAACAGAAAATATTGATGATTTAACCTCCAGATTGCAAAGATTTCGTATAAGACTTATGAGATACAAATATAATTATAATTATATAATTATAAAATGACTCCAGGAAAACAGTTAGTGATGGCCGATGCATTATCAAGAAGTCCCTTGGAAAATACTTCGGATGATACTGAAGAACTTTCTCAAATGATTGTCAAAGGTTTTCCAGTGAAAGATTATTTTCTGTCTATAATTATTGATGAGCAATCATCAGACAGCATTTGTAAAAAATTGTAAGAGTTTAAAATTTCAGGTTGGCCTGAGAAATCTTAATTAAGTCCAGAATTATATCTTTATTTTCAGTATCGACTTGATTTTTCTTTTGCTGAAAACATTTTGTTAAAAAATGTTAGAATTGTAATTCCAGGTAATTTACAACTTCGAATTCTGAATTTTATTCATACTGGTCACCAAGGTATAGTCAAGTGCCAAAAAAGAGCTAAACAATCAGTTTGGTGGATAGGGGTGTCATCACAAATCGAAAAACTCATTAAATCTTTTCCTAAATGTGTTGAGGAAAGAATAAACATCAGAGAAACCTTTCATGAAAGTCTCTTATCTACAAGAGCATAGCAAAATATCGCTGTGGAGAAACCATTGCAATATATTCAGACAGCCAGGCGGCAATCAAAGCAGTCAACTCTATGCAAGTTAAGTAGTATGGGACTGCTTAGAAACCCTAAATGCACTGGGCAGTCAGAACAGATTGACTCTAGCATGGGTACCAGCACATACGGGGTACGAGGGTAATGAAGAGGCAGACTCACTTGCCCGAGCAGGAGCAAACAAAGCTCTTATTGGCCCAGAAC